TCAACAAACTTTTACACTCATTGATATAAATTTTTTTAACATTACAAAATAATAGTACTAATAATAGAACAAAAAAATATCGTAGCATTATATTCAAAAACCATCTACAAATATAAATAGCTTTTATATGCCAAACAAGATTCCGTTACCAACTGGTACTATATACAGAATACTATATACTAAACCACCAATAATTGCCAAAAATCAAAACCAATAAACGGTATGGCGCTACTTTTATGCAAAACAAGAGTGAAAAGCGCGCGCAACGGCAAGAAGGCAAGCTCGTGAAAAATAAAATAAGTGCAAACAACGCTTACATAACTAGAGTTTCAAAGTATAGTAACAAAATCTTATCATATAACTCATGTCATTCTCTCGCAATAGTTTATTCACATAGCAAGACAGTAAAAAGTAACATATTCAGCAGAACGTCGGGTTTTACTCCCAATAAGAAACAATTATATATTTAATATCGTAAAGCGAGAGCATAGAGGACACACCTACCAATTGTTAAATCAATAATAATAAAACCAATAACTCGATCAGATTCCTCACTAATCGAAATACCAAAAAATAGCAATAAAAACTTGAAATCTAAACCACAAAATCCAAGCAAAAACAATTAAGTCATATTAGATAAGTAATATCAATACCAATAAATTTGCAATTTATAAAATTCCAAACAGCTGTCTTCAGGAGAACGGTTAAACGGAATTTTGTTATTACAAAGCTTCCTGCATTAAAAATTTGTACTCAAATATTAGAATTGCAAAAGTTACACGGCTATTGTAAAAACGTTGCACTCAAAAACTATTAAGTACTGTATATTTAGACATGAAGAGAAACTTGGTTTCAGAGTACCACTGAGAAACTTACATCCCTCTAACACCAAAGAAATTAGAAAAGAAATTAAAGAACTATGTCACAATGATATAACCTTCAAAAACCTATAAGAAAAACACAAATAAACTTATTATTTTTATTGAAATTTGAAACAAGTCTTATGTCTAGCCTTTTCCGAGTTAGGGCATCTGAGCACTTTTACTCTATGATAGCTGGGGGGTTTCTGTAGAGTCCCACTCTTCTCACTGAGTAATTTGAGTATTCCTCATAATCTTCGTGATTATTCAATGATTGATCTAAGATCGTGGTAGATTTAGTAGTGCTAAGTAGGGCAGCCTGTCGGTTTTCGCATATAGCTTCAGAGCTCTGTCCGTTATATATTTTTTGACCGGATCTATTTTAAGGTCTCTTAGCATGTCATTCGTGCGGATGTATCATGGCACTTTGAAGGGCCATCGGAGTACCTGAATTTGAGCAACTTGTAGCTTTTGGATAGTAGAGTCGGCAGCTTTGCAGTACGCGATACACCCATAAAGTAGTGCTGGTCTAATTATGTGACTGTAGATCAGTTTTCTGTTCTTCGCGCTAAGGTTGTTGTGTTTGAAAAGTGGTTGAAAGCAGTGCAGTGTTTTTGCGCAGCAACTTCTTTCGTATGTGCTTGTGCCAGTGAACGGTTTATCAAACGTGATTCCTAGGTATTTAGTGCTATCCTCCCAATTAATCGCGATGTCACCAACTCTCACTCTCGGTGAATGCTGCCAGTGTTTACGAGTAATAAGCAGGGCTTTAGTTTTCTCATTGTTAATTTTTATTTTCCATTTTTGGAAGAACTCCAAGATGAGATTAACATACTCTCGCAGCTTGTTGGTCACATTTCTGGCAAGTTTATCGGAATATAACAAGCAAGTGTCATCTGCGTATAAGGAAGCCCCAGACCTTCTCAAATGCCTTGGCGATGTCAAAAATAATCATACCCGTTGATTCTCTTCTGCTTAGGGCTGAATGTATTATCTGAGCCGTTCGCACCAGTTGCAATTCTATGGAGAGATTTTCTCAAAAACTGAATTGCTCGTCAGGATGAATATTCATCGAGTTCACTGATGTTTTAAGTCTATCTAGAATCTGAAGTATTTGGGAGCGTTACCTACCAAACCCTTTCTTTGCAGCTATATTTATTATTTTTTCTTTACAAACCGTAAAGTAATGCTCAGCTTGTTTTTTATGTTCGAATATTAATCTGGAGTAGTTTACATTTAGTACTACGCTAAAAAATTCTAAACTATTAATCAGGATATAAGTATGTTTACTAATTGTGTCCAGAGTTATTTGCCTATTATTATTCAGGCACTTATATGATTTGTCAAAAGTTTTTTATGAATATTGACTTTTTTCAACAATTTGGAACCATTTTATTTACTAGTTGTTAAGTAAAGAAACAATTCAGGAAATATTAGGGTAACATGACCTAACTAGCTAACATAGACTAACTGTTTAAAACGTATTAATAATAAAATATAATATTGAAACTAACAAAAGACAGCAGAAAGAAAAAAAAACAAAAATATAATCAATATGTAAGTGCAACAAAAGCATTTAGCAATTATTGTCAGTTATTGTTATTCGTCAATGTATAATAAGTATTTGCTATTGTTACGTAATCGCCTGCGTGTTTATTCGTATCTCAGGATTTTGTAAAAATGAAACGAACTTTAAAAATTGGAGAAACTATACTTATTATATTTGTTGTATGGAAAAGAACTAGTATTTACTAGGAGCCAACTTAGCTTCACTCAAAACAAATTCCAACACTAACTTCTTTCTTAAAAAAATATCAATTGACATAATGTTTAAATAATATTTAAACATTTCATTGCTACTCTGATCAAATTCGTAACACTATGTTTTATTATTTGAAATATTTATATACACAATGTAATTCGACTACAAAATATTTTAAACATTATTCAAATTTTGAGCTACGGATACGGACCTTTTTTTACAGAAATGGTACCTTTTTAAACCAATTTTCAAGTGGCAACCGTGATCTCCAGTTCGAATTGAGTTTCTTATCCATATTGATTTATTTTTTGTATTTAATTCTTAAACTTACTTGGACAGTACTGTGCACATACCGAGATTAGCATGCTCAGTATTTATTATATGCTTCGCGCAAGACGGTTAACGTTCTAAAGTAATGAACAATATTTTATATTCCTCTTCTATAAACTTTTACAGTAAAGCGTGGGAATAGAAAATAATAAAAGATAGCGTGGTCAGCAAAAAGCTAAAGCATGTTTGTACTACAAAATTACTAAAATACAGCACATTGGCCTCAATTTTAATCGATGAACTTGTGCTTCAACTAGCATTTAATTGTTGAAGTATCTCGTTTGGTTTGGTAAATTTCATTATTCTGGCTGCTACGTATTTTTTCATGGGCCGACTTGATTACATATGTAACTTATATCCATCAGAGTTAACTGATCTTTATTCTGCTTTACATTTACTAAAGTTTCACATATTCGTTGTTTATATGCTGTTATTTGCTGTTTATCAAATTTCAATTTTGGAAGTAAATTTGTATTGGTTCTTACATTTTCTATATCAGTCAATCTAAACGTTAAGACTATTGTTCACACATTTAATTATTATATATTTATCTATATGTAAACATTATTATTGTAAAATTGTATTATTATTATTATTGTAACATATCAAGATTCACACATTTGATTATTATGAATATATTTATCTATATGTAAAACATTTATTGTAAAATTTAAACATATATATTGATGTTAGCAATATCCAAATTTTGGCTTTCCTTTGCATTATTTTTCTGTTAATGCAGTGGCACTGAACTTTGATTATGTAACATATATCAAGGCCAGTGCATTGGCATTAATTCTTGATTGCTAGACAACAAAGAATTTTGTTGCATAATATATGCTGAGCTTGCACTTTGGTCAAGAAAACGGTAAAGGAAAAGAATAAAATTAATTGTAATAATTTGTAATAATTTAGTATTTAAGGCAAAATTTAATTTAATAAAGATCAGATTAAAATAAATATTCGATCTCTCACTTTCATTTCTAGAGTTTCAGTTCAAGTGCTGAAAACTCAACTTTCAAATAAAGAGTTACAGTTTAAGTGCTGTGAACTCAATATCTTAGATGTTAATACATTAACATTTAATTTGGTGAGCCCGACGTGATCCTGAATCACGACTTGGTGATAATTCATTATCAGGTGAATCGCTTGATAATTCAACACGAATTTGAGTTAAATGTGTCCTACGATCACATCAACAGAGGCTTTGGTGTCAGCATCAACAGAGGACAAATAACACGATTTAAAGACATCCTACGATCACGTTAACAGAGGCTTTGGTGGTGGCATCAGCAGAGGACAAATAATGGGTTTCAGTTCGCTAGTGGATCGCCAAAATGCATTGGGCGAAAAAATTAAGCAATTTATTTGTAATTGCAAAAAGGCTGGAAAACCTCGCAGAACTTCTCAATTCTACACAAAAAAGATTCGAGAATTGCAAAGGTTGGGTGACGAATACTATGAAAACCATCAGGAAATCATGGCTTCAGTGAACAAGGTTGACGACCATGAATACTTGGTGAACAAAGAGTATCAGAGTATTCTTAAAATGATTGTCGACTACAACAAGGTTCTAGAAATTGAAGCAATAGATCTGGAAAAATTATCTTCAGCAAGCAGTGTCACAACAATTGAGCAAAACAAACAGATAAATGATTCAAATATTCGGAAACTACTCCGAAATCAGAAGGCACTCATACGTGTAATTGAAAGAACGGTAGAAGGAATCATGGTCAACAGACAAGTTGAACAACCATCTATATACTATTCTATAAAGGCAGCCAGTCTTGAAGGATATATGGTCGATTTAACGGCAAATAACACGACGTTATGGGAAGCCACCGACGAAAGCATCATTGAGGAATACACACTGGAAATGTTTTATGAACTCGAAGAAAAGGCAGGAGCTGCCAAGACAGACAGATTGCGAATTGCCTCTACAAAGAATATGACTACCAAAATTTGATGGAAACTATATGCGGTGGGTGGAATTCAAGGACTTGTATATGGAATTGGTCCACAACACGGACATCAGTGACAGCAAAAAAATGCATTATCTGACTACATCATTGGATAACGAACCAACGGCGCTGATTAGACATCTTCCAGTAGTAGGAGAAAATTACAATATAGCCTGGGCTTTACTTACAAGTCGTTATGAAAATAAACGACTTCTGGTTACAACACTCCTAAATAATAGACAATCCTCAATTAAAAGGGAGTCGGCACCAGCATTAAAATCTCTACACGATGTAAGCAAGGAATGCATACATGGTCTCAAGGCTCAAGGAGTTTCAGTCGAACATTGGGATGTTATCCTGGTACATCTCTTGCTGCGCAAGCTGGATGCAGAAATTCAAACAGCTTTTGAACAAGGGCTAACAGACTACAAACGTTTAGTAACCATTGATGAATTGCTAAAATTTTTGGAACATAGATTTCAATCACTTGAGGCTAGGGGAAAAGGAGATTCATCAATCACTCGAACATGTGCCTCCGCTACAAAATTTGGTTTAAGTAAAACCTGTCCAATTTGCAATAAAGACGGTCACATGAGCTACGCTTGTAAAAAATTCGTGACGGCTAACCTATCACAACGATGGAGTTGGGTCAAGGAGTTCAATATGTGTGTAAACTGCCTCAGGATTGGACATCGAGCTGATGAGTGTAAGTCCAGGCACTGCACCAAGTGTTCTAAAAAACAAAACACTTTGATGTATAATCCAAAAGGGAATTAATACACAAAAGGTACTGCTCTTCAAGGAAATAACTCAACGCCTCAACAAACAGGTCAAGCTTCAGTTTCAAACCAATCATCAAATAAAATAACCCTTTTAACGAACAATACCAATAAGGAATCTAATTATGTCTTATTAGGGACGGCCAGAATAAGATTGCTGGCATCAAACGGAAGACAAATTGAATGCAGAGCAGTATTGGGCTCTGGCTCTCAAATCAATCTCATAACAAACCGCCTGTCAAAAAAATTGAGCTGCAAGCCTAGGCCAACGCTTATGAGTACGGAAGGCGTAGGATCAAATGAATCAAAAATACGTCATCAAACAATAATCCAAGTACAATCAACGTTGAACGAATTTGTAGCAGAGATGGATGCACATATCATACCAAAAATCGTTTCAGATCGGCCAATGCAGTATTTGAATATCGAATCCTGGGATATTGCAAAGGAACTAACTCTCGCTGATCCAGATTTTAACTTGAAAAAGAGCAGAGATCTTTTTCAAGTTACTTATTGAAGGTCAAATAAAACTAGCAGGTAGTCTTCCAACACTTCAGAATTCTATTTTCGGATGGGTTGTAGCTGGCAATGTTGAAAGTTCAAATTCAAGCACAGCGACTAGTGGCATGTGCACTACTAAGGAACTAGAAGAATCCATATTTAAATTCTGGGAATCAGAGGAAATTCCAGATTCAACTTCGGAACTCACAGAAGATGAATTGCGTTGTGAGTCACATTTTTCGCAACATACTTTTCGAGGAAGTGATGGCAGATTTGTTGTGAAACTCCCACTAAAGAATCATCCATCAGTGTTACCAGATACAAAAGGAATCACTTACGAGAGGTTCAAGACAATCGAGCGCCGTTTCATTCAAAATCCTGATCTAAAGAATCAATATGTTTCATTTATGAGGGAATATGAAGCATTGGGACACATGACAAAATTCAGCGGTAGCGAATTAATATCTCCCCAATATTTCATCCCTCACCACTGTGTGCTACGTCCAGACAGCTCAACATCAAAATTGCGAGTTGTGTTTGACGCATCAGTACACAAATTATCAGGGTCATCACTAAATGACATAATGTTTAATGGTCCAAAAGTTCAAGACGAACTGTTTTCGATTTTGCTCAGATTTAGAATGCACAAATATGTTTTAAAAACTGATTTGGAAAAAATGTACCGTCAAATATGGGTTAACAAAGATGATCGAAATCTGCAACTCATAATGTGGCGAGAAAATCCCACAGAACCACTTAATTATTATCAGTTGAATACAGTTACTTATGGCACAAGAGCAGCGCCATATTTAGCAACACGCTGTCTAACAAAATTGGCGGATGAATATCAAGGAAATTATTTATATGGCGCCACATCTTTAAAAAGGGATTTTTATGTTGACGACGGTCTCATAGGAGCTGATACCATTAACGAAGCGTTACTAATTCAACAACAATTAATAACAATTCTAGACAAGGCTGGAATGAAACTAAAAAAGTGGTATGCAAACAACCCAAAACTTTTACATGAAATCGCTCCAGAAGATGAAGAAATAAATCTAAATTTTGATTCCAAAGAAACCCAATTCACAAAGACGTTGGGTCTTTTATGGTTACCAAAGTCAGATTCATTTCGTATCAAGGTTAACATTCGAGAGTCACACAACAAAACGATCTATGAACTCCGATTTGGCACACATATATGACTCCTTGGGTCTTATTGGTCCAATCTTGGTCACCGGTAAAATCTTGTTGCAAGGAGCATGGTAGCTAAAACTCGATTGGGATGTGATCTTCCGTCAGAAATACGTAAACAATGGGCATCGTATAGAAAAGATCTGGTCTTTTTGGACAATGCAATAGTTGTAAGGCACGTATTCAGCAGTCAAGGCTACAGCCATGTTGAGCTGCATGCCTTTTGTGACATCTCAGAAAAGGCTTATGGTGCAGCAGTATACATTAGAACAGTACAAAAGGATAAAACGATAAAACTTAATCTACTATGCTCCAGATCTCGTGTAGCACCTATAAAATCTCAAACAATTCCACGACTAGCATTGTGTGCAGCGTTGCTAGCAGCAGAACTCATGGCAAGAGTTAAACCTGATCTAGGCTATCAAGACAAAGCAACTTTTGGACAGATTCACAAATTGTGCTTTTCTGGATAAACAATCATCCAGGCAAATTACCCGTTTACGTCGCCCACCGATTTGTAAAAATCCTTCTGTTGACAATTCCAGAACAATGGCGTCACGTTCCGTCAAAACAAAATCCGGCATATATTCTGTCAAGAGGGCTTAAAGCGCGGGAATTTTCATCATGCTATATGTGGTTATATGGTCAAACTATTTTTATATCAGCCAAAGTCGCTGTGGCCAGTTCCCTTCAAAAGGGAACTTATTGTTGAAGTTAGCACAGTGGTGCTCGCTTTATCAACACAACAACCTGCTAATCAGCATGCGTGGGTCTACTCGATTCATTTCATTTATTTACACATGTCCAAAAGGTTGTTGGATATGTACTTCGTTTCACAAAAAACGCACGGAAACCAAAAGAATCAAGACCAGAGACCATGCAGCTTTCACCGATGGAGCTCGACGTAGCACTTAAGGTATTAAGGTAATTAAGGTAATTAAGGTAATAATATGTCAAATCCAGGCCTCCGATTTTTCTGATCTAAAGAAAATGCTAGTTAAGGACGAATTTGTACCAAAAACTCATAATCTCAGTTCTCTAACTCCGTTCGTAGATGAAGAAGGAGTAATACGTGTTGGCGGACGGCTAAGCTCTTCAACACTACAATTTGATGCCATTCATCAAATGATTTTACCAAGCAACGATCCACTAGTAAAGTTGTTGGTAGAAAAAATACATAAAGACAATTATCATTGTGGCGCCCAAACATTGCTGGCACAAGTGAGGCAGCGTTTTTGGCTCCTCAAAGGAAAAAGCTTGATGAGAGCTGTGATACAATAATGCTTAAGATGCAGAAGAGCAAGGCCAATTGTGTACAATCAAATCATGGGAAATTTGCCTGGACACCGTGTGCAACCAGCTTGACCGTTTCTCAGCACTGGAGTTGATTATTGTGGCCCAATATGGGTTCACTACAAAACAAGAGGTAAGCGTCCACAAAAGGCGTATATCGCTGTCTTTGGCTGTTTTGCAACCAAGGCCGTACACTTAGAACTTGTGACTGATCTGACCACAGATGAATTCATTGGAGCATTAAAACGCTTCAAATCAAGACGAGGACGCTGTAAAACGTTATACTGCGACAATGCAACCAACTTCGTTGGAGCGAAAAACAAGTTGCAGCAACTTACTTACGTCATCTACGCTGAACGAACAAGGGAATCAATCGCCGAAATGTGCAGTACGAAAGGCATAGAATTTCACTTCATTCCACCAAGGTCACCACATTTCGGCGGGTTATGGAAGGCAGCAGTAAAATCTGCCAAATATTTGCTGATCAAAAATGTTTCAACTTACATATGAAGAGCTTGAAACTGTCGTTATTGAAGTTGAAGCATCAAGGTTTACAAAGGCGAAGGTGGTTTAGTGAGAGTTTGTGGCATTCAAACAAAAAAGGGAGTATTTAAAAGACCGGTGCATAGATTAGCTCCATTATTTCCTGAAGACGACAAATTAGAAGATCCAAACTTGGGAAAAATGACTGAAAGGAAAATCGAATCAAAGCAGACTCAAGAAACTCCAAGGTCATCTCCCGTGTCGCTTATCGTAAACATTCCATTAAATCGCATCAGAAAACCTGAATCATTAGTCAATGGGATAACTCCAACAAAACGGTCATGTCTGAACCCCGGGTTGCTGCTCACCATTATTACTCTACTTATTTTGCCACTTGCACTATGTAGTCCCGTCAATATAACAAACTTCAACAACAAACCTGGCATTTATTTTGAGCAGCAAATCATGTCTGCTGATTGGAAAATGATTGTATATTTTGACCTTTCCCCATACCAACAACAAATGAGTATTTTAGCTGATGGAACAAAAAGGTTGCACAATTTATGCGACAAGGCAAAGGGCCATGTCATTTTTTGCATCGGCTTACCTCTCACGGACCCAAGAGAATTTCAGCTATTATATCTTGTTTCAATTGTGGCAGCTCTAAATAACACACTTTTATCAGTGAAACCATCAAACCATTGTCACCCTCAATCCATGAGCTTGAATTTATTCAACGAAAATTAGCCCACATCCAGAGTTCCAGTTTTCCAACTGATACTATTAGTCCAGGTACACATAGTCTAATAACCAGCTACGTTGCATTAACATTGTTTCTATGTGTCGTTAGTGCACTATTATATATATGGCGAAGGCAGTAAATCACCTATCAAACACCTCCAATACCGATGCCAGGACATCAACAGATGACCGAGGATACAGCATGTTGACTTGCAGCTTCCAAATAATTAGAATTGATGTTGTCAATTCAAGGCGGGCAGCATGTTCACACATTTAATTATTATATATTTATCTATATGTAAATATTACTATTGCAAAATTGTATTATTATAATTATTGCAAAATATCAAGATTTACACATTTGATTATTATAAATATATTTATCTATATGTAAAACATTTATTGTAAAATTTAAACTTATATGCTGATGTTAGCAATATCCAAATTTTGACTTTCCTTTGCATTATTTAATTTAGTGAAATGCAGTGGCACTGAACTTTGAATATTTGCATTATTTTTTTGTTAAGTGCAGTGGCACTGAACTTTGAATATGGAACATATATCAAGGCCAGTGCATTGGCATTAATTCTTGGTTGCTAGACAACAAAGAATTTGGTTGCATAATATATGCTGAGCTTGCACTTTGGTCAAGAAAACGGTAAAGGAAAAGAATAAAATTTATTGTAATAATTTGCAATAATTTAGTATTTAAGGCAAAATTTAATTTAATAAAGATCAGATTGAAATAAATATTCGATCTCTCACTTTCATTTCTAGAGTTTCAGTTCAAGTGCTGAAAACTCAACTTTCAAATAAAGAGTTACAGTTAAAGTACTGTGAACTCAATATCTTAGGTGTTAATACGTTAACAACTATATTTAAATCAGTGTGAATTTCCAACTTCAAAGTTATCGATAATTTCAAGTATTTCTTGGGAATTTGCACAGATATAATTTGCCGACATTATAACTCCACTAATAAATGTAATTTCTCCTTTCTCATCATCTTTTTTCATTCTATTCGCTATCACAAAATCACTGTCACAAAACAACTGTATAAATCTAAGTTCATGTGAATTTTCCACTTCGTCTTTAGATTTCTTTACTTCGAATCCAGCCGTAAAGTTCGACATATATTCGTCATCCAGGTAATTTTGCATTTTTGCCAATTCTGACACTCAGGTCTCCAATCACAATAAGATTTTCAATTGCATTTTCCGTGATTTTCTAGTTTACTAAATTCTTCGAATTGCGCTTCTTATGTATGAATATACTAAATTTATTTTTATTAAATTTATCTTTTGTTTTTTCTCTTCTTTATTCGAAAGCGGTTTGATAATCTACCAGTGGGCAACTTTCTAATTTTGAGCAAGCTACGTCGTTCAGTTGGTGTTTGAGAGCCACGAATTGGAATACGAACTGCTACCCCATCCAGCATATTCTCCAGATTTAGCCCCCTGTGACTATTTTCTGTTTCCAAACCTAAAGAAATGGTGAAAAGCACTTTTTTCAATTTTCGCAAAAACTCACAAGGTTGTCTGCTTTGAACGGCTATCAAACATCAACTGTACGACGTAGCTTGCTCATAATTAAAAAGTTGCCCACTGGTAGATTACAGCTGATGGCAGCACTGTTGCATTTGGAGTAACTGCGCGGGAAATTCAAAAAGTCACTGACAAAGTTTTTTTTTATTTGTTAAATATGTATTTAATTTACTATTTACTTATATACAATAAAACAAAGTAAAATATCTTATTTATTAAATGAAATTTTTAATGTTTTAACTAAAATTTGAGTTCCTCTCCAAAACTCGAATTTATTTTTATAAATAGGGTAGAAGTGTCCTTAAATTAATAAACTAATAATGGTTTATGATTGTGCAGATGTTACAATAAAAAATAAACAATGTTTTACCTGCGCATAATTGCAAAAATTTATTTAAATTTATCCTAGGAATCCCATTCTGTATGAAAAAAAGTAAACGACAATAATTTCATACACGCAAATATGATGTTTCTTTATTTGATCACAACTTTTAATAAACAACACTTTGTGTAAATTAGCCACACCACGATGGAAAAGGTACGCACTTCGCCAACGCCGAATAAGGAAGAAGGAAAAAAGCAAAAACGAAACCAAAAGTTATTGTTTGCCAGATGTTGAAATGCTGCTGTCAAAATCACTTGATCAGTGATGTCTTACTGTCTAGTTGTTGTGCCAAATCTCAAACATCCTGCCCGGCTGGACGGGTACGTTCAATGCCAATGCCTTTACCTTAAGTGGTTTTAACTCATCTTCCATTATTGCCAGCTCTGTTGGTGCACAGTTATGCAGCTCATTGATTGGATAATCAGTTGAGTTAGGGCCATGCCACCATAATGTGTAGTTATGCAACGCCAAAGATGATATGCCAAGACTGGCGCAAACAGCTGGATTGATTTTGGTAGGAATGTGATGCCAATGCCATATCTGTCATCGGTTGAATTCAGCCAACG